ATTCTTCAAGCCTGTTCAGCTACAGATAAGAGGAGTACATTCTCTTAAAAGCAATTTATCCCATCTACTCCACCACATATTTCCCCACAATTCCTTTTTTTATTTTTCGCCTTCGCGTATATCTTTGCCATGGAAATTAAAATTTAGGGACGCGGGTACTGAGGTCCCTGGAACTTTTATATTTGTGCCCAATTCCACATCTATCCAAGTTATGTTTTGCTTTTTTGCATCCATCAGGGCATTTTCTATCCCAATATCGGTCATCTCTCCTTCTTTATGCACATCTCCATCTCCACACAGCTCAAGCGGTCCTTCAATGACCTTCAACTCTGCGGGTAATATCCCAGAGTTTTCGATTTGACCCTGGATTAACCCCCTCATTCTCACAATCCCCTTTTCCTGCTTGTCCCCATACCGAACAAACTTCAAATCATCACTTGATTTCTGCATTGTTTGGAAAACCCCAGATGCATAATCGAGCCCAATACCAAATTCATAGTTTTCGCTTGGACCTTCTGGTTTAAACATTATATTATTCGCTGCAGGAGCATCAACACCAACACCGTATCCAAATTTAGCCTCGAGCCAGATGCGAAATTTTGAAGATGATGCTTTCCTGCTCTGACTTCGATTCCATTCCTGTTCTCCAAAGATTTGCGCAAAGACTTTTTGAACCGATGTGTCCTCTTTACTCTTGTATTGTAGCCGGGTCAATTCCTCGGCTTTCTTCCAAACTCTCCGTACATCTTCCGCCTTCCCTACCGCTAACGCTCCCTCTATAAATCTCGGGCGACAGTATATGCCCCCTTCGTACCTATCTGTTTTGCTTTCATAATTGTTTTTCGGTAACGTTGATTGCGGTATATTATTTGCGTAGCAAGCTAGTTCGGCTGGACCGTCTCTAATGCTGCATTCCTTTTGAGCTGCGAAGAGGACTTTTTGTGTGTATTTTTGAGGACGGGGCTGTTTTGAGCTAGCTCTATCGACCATGCTATTATTTATATCAACTCGTCCATACTTTTTGAGAAGTGAGGCGTTAGAATCCCGTGTATTGCGTAGGAATCTGCTGATGATTATCTCGACTGGGAGTTGGAGCCAGGTATCCTCATCTAATATCAATACTATATCATCATCATGCACTTCCTTTCCATTAAGAAAATTCAAGGTGTCTTGTACGTGTTGTGAAGATGAATTGTCATTTCCCTCCTTTTCCTCCAGTTCAAATCCAATTAACGTTGGAGGCGGATAATTGAGGATTGCAGCTGATATCAGAGTTTTGCAGAGGTTGACTGATCTTTTCCTTGCCATTATTATCAGATAGAACTTTGGCCTGACAACGATTGTGCTGGTATCGTTGTCTGGTACAGTGTTATCCAATCCACCACCCTCGATGACATTGTATGGC